TAGGGCTAAGTCTATTTTTATTTTAGTTCTTAATAATGATGTCAGAAGCAATCCCATTGCCTCATTCACACAACTTTGTCCTGGCTCGTATTCTTAAAGATAACATGATACAGTCATATTGTGTTTCCCCAGTAACTTCCTCTGAAAGTGCATATTATTCCTTTCACTTAACTAATGCAACTAATCCTCACTAATGACATTTAATGAGACACACAAGTATGCCCTAGAGTGTATGAGACTCTGCTTAAAAACATAATTCTTTAATAATCTTATTTTTTAACTGAAGAGGTAAATTGCACATTTTAAAAGCAAGCATAAATAATCTCAGACCCAAGACTATATTAAGGGGGAAAAAAAAGTGGTAACAGGTTTCTAAATTTTAAACAGGGGCCTAAATAAGTGTCCTGTTAAAATATCCTTCTATTCAGATTGCTATAAAGAAATCTTTAATATTAGATGTCCAGCTCATGGGCATGGATAGCAATACTCCTTACCTGCGTATTTATTGTATGAACCATAAGTAAAATTGTTATTACTTTAGTGTGTATGTTTGCATTGCTGCAGCTCTTAAGACAAGCTAGTTACGGTCCAGGACTCCCACTTTGCTAAGTGTTCTATAAACATACAGCACAGCATATATAAACGCTGCACGTAAAAAAAGAGGTGAGAGGGAGCTGGGTTGGTGAAGTAGAGCCGGGAAACAGGCAGCAGTGTTCAACATGACATGAAGGAGTCATAGCACATCAGCAGCCTCACTTTGCCAATTTTGGGGGGTTTGTTTTTCTCGCGCTTTTTTCTAGACATCAAAGCAAAGGAGTTTTAATGAGGGTCTGAAGGAGAATAATGAGGTACTTTTGCAGATGTCTGCAGGGTGTTCCTCCTCACTCAAAGGGGAAACATGTACAAAGACACTTTGAAAAATAAGTGAGCAATGGAGGTTGGCATCTTAGTTCTTTTGAAATGAAAGGCCCTGATGCTGACCTCATTTACACTGGTGAAAGCTGTAACTCCTGTGAAGTCAATGAAGTCCCTGTAGCATAAAATTGGTCCCGGATTACAATCTGACAGAACAGTCTATCAGAAGCCTTGGCAACCACTGAAACCATATTCCAAAAATACCTTCAGCTCATTTTTGCATTACTGTAAGGTCTCTTTACATCCATCTACCACTAAAAAGGGCCTTGAAATACTTAACTATTTGCCAAAAATGTGTGACAGATCTTAATGTAAACAAGAATCTGACCACTTTGGCATTAATGTCACAAATATACATGTGAGTATGGGTATATATGAGCAAATATGCACATATACCTATGTATACATATGTATGTATAGATAGAGACACACATATATACATTCCTCTGCAGGCTGATATGCAGGGAGAAAACTTTACACTCTGATTAGAGACAAGGTAATTTTATGTTAAGGAGTAGACATGTTATCTCCTTTCTCATTTTTTAAAATAACTCTGTCTGACTTGTATATAATACATTTAGCATATAAAAGATGATGCCCCAGAAGAAATGCTTCTACAACTTGTGCTAGCATTAAACATGTCACAGAAGACTTCAGGGATTTAAACTCTTAGGATTCATTTGACATTAGAAGCCCAATTGTATCTAAATTTGTAGGTCAATCCTTAAAGCACCCGGAAGCCCAGGGCTCACATAAGTTAGGACTCTCCATGTCCATCATCTCCTCTATGTGGGCTACCTGAACTCAGGCTGAAGTCACACTGCCTGCATATGCCTGTGGTATTTGATATCATGGCCCTTCTGCAGGGAATCTCAGGCTATCTTATTTACCCAGAATGGGTCGTGTGACATTTCTTGAAGGACAAAAATGATGTACAGAACCAGGCACAAATGTCAGGATCTAACCACATGGCAGGTAAAGGCATCGTTGCCTCTGCTCTGATGTACTGGGATGTTCAGCCATGGAAGCATCATCATGGTGACCCCAGAGCTGGCCCAAGTGGCACTTATCAGAATAGCTTTGTGGGCTGGCTAAGAATCATGCTCCAAGTTAGCCCCAGAGCTGCTCTTACACCATAGTGTTGATGCAGGCATTAAGCCATATTGCTCACCTCTCCTCACAGGGCTGATGTACATCATTAGGGCTGGTAGAGGTTCTCAGCACACTGAGTTTGGGGTTTGGGAAGGGAATTTCTGCACAGGAGAAGCCCTGGCTGTCTGCTTTCTCCTGAAGCTCCCACCACTGCTGCAGTTTTGTTCCTACTTCCCCACCAGCTCAGTCCAGCAGAGGAGCACCAAAAACTAAAACCTCAACATGAACTCAGTTCTAGGATCTAAGTATTGCAAAGGCCACTGCAGAGAAAATAAAGATTTGGTCCTGCAGAACTCTAACTGATTTGTAGCAAATTTGATGAGCAAAAAATTGAGAGTAAAGTTTTCACAGGCAACATTGTTTTGCTTACAGAAAGAAATTAAAAACAGAGTAAGAAGCCAAAAGTTATTATACCTGAGTGTCTCTCTTTATGTGTGGTTAAATTATAAGTTAACCACTGCCACTTTATAATTAACATAGTACTTACATTTAATTAGAATAATATAAATGAAAGAAATTCTATATATTTTTTCTTTAATAAATTACCAATTCTGCTTTATAAATCATTATTCATTTCACCATTTGTGAAATAGAAACATCAACCAGTGGCAGGAAAAAGGAATTATTACCTTAATATACTTCCAGAATAGCCAAACCACTCGCAGAAAAGTTTGTACTAGATATTCTAATTACAACAGGATCCTTCCCTGACTTATCAGCTTCCTGAACCACCAGTGCCATTTCTGTTTCAATAATTGCATGTAGAAAATGAACCATGAAATAAATCATGTGAAAAACCTTTTAAACTTTTGTTGACTTACTAATGAAGTGGACGTAGAGTGTTTTAACTGTACAGCTACCTCAGTCTCACTCATGTCAGCTCAGTTTATACCCTACAGAGATCAAAATCAGTACACAGCCCATAATTTATAGACCTTCACACTACTTTTCAAATGAGAGGCATGCATGCCATATATTAAAAGTATGATCCCAACCAATCTGTCTGCACAAAACTACTGGCTGATATACACAAGAGCTTTAAAAAAAAAAAGTCTTGGTCTAATTCATCATCAAAAAAAAAAACAGCAGAAGAAACCAGCATGGGCACTCTTAGCTCCAGCGAGCACACTTAGAAAGTTAGCATTAATCGGCTATATTGTGTATTATAGCAAAAATTAAGGTGTAACCTCACCTGCTCTGTGTCGTCTTTAAGCAGCCTTTAAGTTGTCTATCAGTAACCTCTTTGTGTGGCTTATTATCCCCCTTGGGCACAGTTTCTTTCTTGTGACAAATCAGTGTGTAATTTTTGTTGTCATTATTTGCCCAGAAGGTACCAACCGATGTCTCATAGCGTATACAGAACTCCACCTTAGCTCCATCTTTCTGGTAAGGAGGCACCAAAGAAATCTTAAAGCAGAACTGATCAGTTTCACTACCACAAGAATTAGGCATGAACTCTGCGAGGATATCGTAATAACTGAGCCAGTTATTCAGTGTCATTCGAACATACACCAGTTTTTCAAAGGATACATTGAGGACCCGTATAATGCCGTTCATACAGGTAATCCCAGGCAGGAGCACGATTGACTCCAACAGCACTTTCTGCTCTCGCACTTTTTGCAAAAGTTCTTCTTGTGAAGCAGGTAACGTAAAATGTTGAGAGAAAAAATATTCCTCCTGAGGGAAAACATCTTCTATGTTGTCATTTCGTCCTGTGTTTGGAACTTCCCAGGTATCAAACTCTTTAACAGACACGAGATCAAACCCAAATGCATCAGCAAATGAAACTTTTCTTGTGATGGTGGTGGGGGTATCTGCCTCCTCCTCTGAAGAAGAAGCAGAATTCCGCCTTCGGGGAAGTGGAGAGAAACGATGTCTAATATCAGGTTTAACATCTTCATCCTCTGAAGAGAAATCATTTACAGTGGGGACTTCCAATAAGTTAGCCCTGCTAACCTGACTAGGTCCTTCAAAAGACTCCATTGGGCTCTCTGATATAAACTGAAAGAGAACTGTACAACTAGTAGCAGCTGATATTTGAGACACTGTGATTTAAAATAAGGATTAATGTTACAGTTGACATTGCAAAAGGGAGTCAGGCCTATTAATAGATGCTATGGTGTGTGAGCTATGTTGGCCTGTTCACCATCTGACAGTATTAGATGTTACAATTTCAATGATACATTTCAAATATTGCATTCCCTATTTTTAAGTGGCTTTAAGTGCCAAGAAGAAAAATAGTATTTAAAAACTAAATTTGCATGGTTAAATTGCACATATGGAGCTATTTTTAGATTATCAACTTATGTTGCACAACAAATTTATCACATTATACAAATAAAGATCTATTTATCTCTAATTAGGATGTATACTTCATCAGGTAAATAGTTTCTATATTGTAAACCATTCCTGCATATATTTTTAAGGCCATGTTTTTAACGTATTTTCAGATACAAAAGGGCAATGTCACATTCTGCCCTGGCTTTATACCATGCTAACTCAGTGGGCCAGATCCTAGGACTGCTAGCTTTTTCTAGCTATTGATTAGCCGTCACAACTTAAATGAACCAGGAATGCTATGAAACATTGAAGTGAGTACACTGGAGATGAACGCGTAATGCTCCATTGTAAATATGACTGAATTCACCACTAATTAGATTATGAAATCATCTAGTGCTTGACTGCATTTAGCATCATACAGCCAAATGGACAGAAAAGCAACTCACAGAACTAACTCGTGCAGCCAGCTGTGAAACACAAACCCTGTGCCACACAGCTATAAACAAGAGAAAGAAACATAGTGCCCTGCTTAAAGGGTTTACAACCTCTGTGCAGGACATTTTCCGATGACATGAAATAAAACCGTGGCTTCTCAATCAACTTAAGCAGTTAGCATTTGGCTTTTACTTTTATGGCATTCCCTACATGGAAAGATGCAGTCTTTACGGCACAAATATCATGAACACAAAAGGTCACTCCCCCCATATCTGTCTCAAATGGTAAGCCTAGGCTATAATCTAATGGTGCAGTGTGAGCTAAGAAATACAACACGACTTTCTTGGGATTAGACACGTCAGAGACTGACAGCATTAGTGGCATCATCAAAGACCTCAGCACAGGCTAGAAACCTAGTTCTTCAGTCACATTTTCAAATGGCTCAGGTCTCGCAGGCACCACTTCTGCCTGCTCCCACTTACTGCTCTGCACATAATTGCAAAGATGATTTGCCACATGCATGTTTTGGCTTTGTACTGTGTGAATTAGGAACAGTTTGGAAAATGAGGCTTTTTGCTCTAGAGGCCACGCAATTTATTCTGTCAACATAATCTAAGAAAATATTACTGTAGTAATTATGTAAACAAGGAGAACTTATTTGTGACACTGTTACCCTAATGATTGCACCTGTTTCTGTGAAGAGCCATTTCCTCTTTTTCATTCTGTATGTTTCTTTAGAAAAAGCTGCATACACAAATGTAAATGGGAAAGTAACTTCCACAATAGACTCTGATGGATCACAGAGGTAAGAGGTGCAAACAGGAGGAGGGCTGCCCAACAACTCTGCTCAGGGAAAAGAAAGGCATACCTCAGACCAAGGCATGCTTTGAGAAGGGGTTCATTTCTAATTGAAAATGAAAGAAGAAAGCAGGAAAAGAAAAGCCATGGAAACTAGTATTGCTGCTAGACTGTATGAAAGCAGGTTAGTCTGGTTAAAGAGGGGTTTCGTTTTTGGGGTTGGATTGTTTTGGAGGTTTTGGGGTTTTTTTTTTTTTTTCTTTTTTGACAACAGAGGAAGGCCACATGCTTGCAGAAAGCAATTTCCAACCCACAAGCTTCACCTATTTCAGTGCAGAAGGGTAGAGGTTTATCTCTTTTCTCCACCTGAGTTAGGTCATACCTGGACAATTATTACTGGGTCAAACTTTTCATGACAGTGCAAATATTTTATCAAAAGTGTGTACAGGGTTACGCCAAAGCAAGCACTGTTCTACATAAAAGAACTGCAGTTACTGTTTCTATGTGCGAAAATATTTTAATGAAAAATAATACCGTTTGTTCTCTGCATCTTGCAAAATCGTGCCCAATATACCTAAAGCAAACAGACGATTTCCTTTCAGACTCTAACAGCAACAGGTAATTTTAGAACATTTTAATGGAATAACTTCTCTAATGACTTCTTTTCTAAAGCCTCATCTTCAATTCAAATGTTGAATCAAGACAAATGGTTTCCAGGTGTCCTTAAACACTAAGTAACGGGAAAAAACAGGTAGAACAGAGGAAGAATGTGTAGAGAGTAAAACAGCACTGTATGGGGTAGCTTCTCTACTGAACAGCATAGTAAGAACATCACAGAGTTAGCAGGCTTGGGACTTAATTAAACACACAGTAGAGCAACAAAAGCAATAGCCAAACAGACCTTTAATTAAAAAATACTTGCACCTGCCTATGTTTTTGGCATATCTATGTTAGAACAGGCCAGCTGATCTTTCTTGGCCTTAACTGGAAGGATAGAGAATATACCTTTCTGCATTAAATGAAAAACAATTATGTCTTAAGCATGGACTAAAGATGAGCAGTATAAAATCTGGTTCCACTTGGCTTCCTAACAGTGTGTTCCCTAGTGTCCTAGAAAACTGTAATTCTTCAGCAGAGACTATGATATGTATTACTTTGCTGCTATTAAATAAATCTATTAGGATAAGGCATAAAAACATTCTCTCCTTGCAGATAACACTATTCTATCTGACTGTTGAATGGTCAAAAGTGCTGAACAAGAGGTAGAAGAAAGATTTTAAAGGTTCTATTCTTTAGAAAAAAATATTGCTGGCATATTGCGAGACGTATTTTGAAACAGCAGTTCATTCTCAAAGCATGTAGCGCTAGGGAAAAAAGCACAGCATTTCACTTAAGCAAGGGTTTCTCTCTAAATTCCACGATTGAAGTTAAATATTAGTAATAAAAGTTGAGTGAGGACAAAGGCTGCCCTCAATTGTTTTCTGCTCTTAGTTGTAGATTGTATGCACTGTCAGAATTTTTTAACAAAACTTTGTCCAATGACTACAACTGGTCTCTATGACCCAGAGTAAAATCCAGCTCAGTGTTTAAAATCTATGCTGTTTTCACAATGCCAAGCAGATTTCTAACCATCCAATGTTTTAGAAGCTCTGTAGAGACTGCAATAACAAAAATGGGAATATTTGTAGAAGAATCTGCTTCCCCAGGTTGGAAAAAGTCTGTATAGTAAGAGTAGACAGTAAGCTTTCCCTGCCTCAGATTCTTCTTTCAGATAAAAGCAGACATGGAGCTAGTGAAGGTAGTTCTCCCTCTAATGTGAAATCTTTGCAGACATTTGAGGCAGTGACAAGAAGTTTCCCAGAAAGATTAAGGATAAACCAGGAATTTGACTTATGTTTTTCAGAAGTAAACTTGATTTGGGGAGAGAGAGTTTTTCACCCTTTCACCTTTAAAGATAGGACTCAGAAGAAAACAAAAGTTACTTCTAGAAATAATGTGGAGAAAGGAGGAAAAAGCAAGATACCCAGAAGTATGGGATTAATATTTTCCCTGAGGTCATATCTGGGAAAAAAAGTACAATCTTTATCTTGGAGACTGGAGATTTCAGCCCTTCCAAGTGTAGCTCTTTTTGCTCACCCTTTTATCTTTGATTCCCTATAGAATCTTCCTCTACTTACTGAAAGGATCGTTCATCTGTTCAAGTATGGAGCCCTTTCCTACACATTTTCTTCTTTATGCTTAGGGTTTGAGTTCAAGTTTCACACTGTCAACTTTTGGGCATTTAGTACATTTAAATTTCTAAACTCTTCGGTCTGGCTTCCTTTAATAACCTTGGTGTCCTCAGTTTCTGAAAACCTGCCCTCAAAATTGAAAATTGTAATAACGTGGTTTTGCTTATTCTTGATATAATTTGGCTATTTGTAGACAGTAGAAGTCTAGTCTCTGTGCCTAGACCTTCTTTGAAATCCCCTCCATTTTCAAAGTCACTACTAAAATAGCAGAAACAGGTGGCTGATTCTGTGTTTCTTTCTTGAAGATAGGGGTAAGGAAATAGATGGTCCTTGTCACAGTGAGCAGCATTTGTTCTCCAGTTCCATAAAAACACAAATCTCATTTATTAGGTAGAAAATAACCTAATTAGGTAGAAATAAATAGAAATAAAATTTCTACCTAATTAGGTAGAAATAACCTAATAATCTAAAGTGGATCCAGTGTTTTGAATTGAAATCAAACTTTTGATGTTATTATTATAGGAAACCCTTTAGGCGTGATATACTTACAGTTGCAGCAACAGAAAAGTGATGATTTGTAAGAAATAAAGTGCCAGATCACACATTTCAGAGCTAACCTCAGTAATTTCTGCTATGATCTGGCAACCATTCATCTGCAAATAAGAAAGGAAGAGAACAAACGGGGTAAATTTGTCATCAGACAGCTATGAAAAGCCACCAGTAATGGAAAGATGATGGCAACTTTGGGATGTGCCAAGGAAATTTCTGGTAGGGACAGAGCAGGGCAAATGAATGCCTTCAAAATAAATTATTGTTGAGACTATGGACCCAGGAAGTATCTCATCATGTCATCATTAGGATTTTGAAACAGCCAAGGCTGCTCATCCCATTCATCCCATTCACAATGGTTAGTGGAAGTCATCTATTAAATCTTGCAAGCAAGTAGGTGGCAATTCTGTCTTGACAGAAATGCTGGATAACCCATGTGAACTATAGCATTGCACTGAGTCTTCTTCCTGCTCTAAAAACATTGTGGCTACCAACTGAAGCATAGGCTGGTGGATGTGAAAGCCTGAGAAAAGACTTACAAACACCTGTCAAGATGATCAGCCAAGATGAGAACTTCAGGCTCAGGGTGAAAGGGATCAGTTTAATAGATGCCCCTGTCTCTTTTGCCAGAATTAGCATCTGTAGGAAGCAACCACGGGTTATTTTCAGAACCCATCAGAGCTTGAACAACAACATCAACTTCAGCCTCATAAGGTTAAGTCTTTGAGGCTGTTGTTGATGCCTCAAAACACAGATCTCATCTGTGACTACATATTTTAATCATCAAAGGTTACCCAGAAGAAGACAATGCATGTTCTTTCAAAGCTTCTACCATTTTATTTTGTTTTGCTTTAGAACATACTAAACATATTCAATTACTTTCCTTGATTAACCACAGAATGAGTCTCTTGTCCTTAACAGTGTCAGAACTCAGGAGGCTGAGGACAATGGGAAAGTTCAAAGGACAGTTTGTGCTTTGAGGGTCCCAGAGCACAGTGCTCACTTGCTCTGAGTGGTACTTGCTCCATCAAGTAGTTTCCTGGGTCAGCAGGACTGATCACATGCATACTCGTCATGAAAACTAGTTGCACAATTGGGATCAGAGAGTTAATAAGAAAAAAGGGGAGCAATTTGTGGGGGTTCTGTTCTATAATTCCATTTCACCAAGAATATGTCCCCTGCAAATACAAAATTTGATAGCAGGCTTCATTTCACACACTACTTTCTTTTAGCACGTAAAACAAATGTTTATTGTACTAAATACAACATGTTTGACTAAGTGTAAAACACAGGAACCAACATGTTGGTTTCAATTTGTTCTGCATATCACTGGAGGGTCTAATCCTTTCACAACTCTATCTAGCCACCATCACTTTCTCATTAATCATTATGTTTCAATGGGGAACGCTGAAGGGTGTTTTCACAGATTATAATGAAGTGAGAGGCTAACGTCATGGTCTGTTTATCTTCATACTTAACATAGTCTAATTATTTTGGTTTTTTTTTTTTCATTCAGCTAGGGCTTGCACCTTGACTTTTGTAAACATAGGCAGTTCTGTTTTCATTGTTGAGGATGTTGACTTAACAGAGTATAAAATAGGAATCTGGGTACGTGAGAGCACCACATTTAAAGTCCAACTTTCATTTCTCCTGCTTGTATTCACTGGACCAATTATTTGACGGACTACTTGAAGTAAAATATTTGGACACATAAACTAAATGCTAGACTTCAGGCTGCTATAATGAGTGAAAACTTTTCTGAAAACAATGAAGGAAATCTAAACATCTGTGCAGCAGGAGGAGAAGAAGGAAAACTCGTTCACAGGATTCCACCCCAAATTCCCAGCTCGCTCATACATGCTAAAAAGGGTCTTTCTGTGGCTGCAGATGAATCAAGATTTCCAGAAAAACCACCCCTATCTTACATAGCCTTAATTGCAAAGGCAATTCTTTCTTCCCCTACAAACAAATTGAATTTAGCTGCTATCTACAAATATATTGAAGATAACTTTCCTTTCTACAGGAACAAAGGTCGAGGCTGGAGGAACAGTGTAAGGCACAACCTTTCACTAAATGACTGTTTCATCAAGGTGGGAAGATGTGAGGATGGCAAAGGAAACTACTGGAGTATTCACCCATCAAACTTAAATGACTTTGTTCATGGAGACTTCAGGCAACATCGAAGGTCACGAAAGCGAGGGCGTTTAAAGGAGCTAGAGCATTGCCTTGCTGTGAATTATTTCATGCCATGGGGACACTATCCTTCCTATCCAGCACCACATTGGCTTTATCAAACATATTATTTTCTGGATCCTATGTGGAAAATGCTGGATGCTGACAGACTGCAGTTTGTGCATGAATATCAAAAATGGAATGTAAACAGTGATTTAATCATGGGGAAGTTTTCACTTCCACTACAGACTGAAAAACCACACGGCATTTCTGTGGACTGGTTTTATGGATCTCCTGCTACCTCACTTATGCAGCAGAACATTTTCCTAAATATTCAACAGGGCTTCCCTAATTCCCTTTTCTTCTCCACTCAGAAGCAGCAACAAAGTGAAGCATTCAGACACATCTGTAAGTACTAGAAAGTATTTGAAGAGCAGTAAGTTTGCAGGCAGCCTAGTCTGTCAAGATACAATGTATTGATATATACTGTACAATTCTGAACGCTTGTATATGTTTAAAGACAGCAAAAAGGCATACTTTTTTAAGCAAGCCAGTGATTATCAATGAGTATATTAGCTTTGAAATTATAGCAATTAATACTGTTTTTAAATTTCTACTAGTCAACGGCCTGCACAGATTATTCTGTAGAAGAGTAAATCCATCAGCACTAACCAATAAAATTATTTTTAAAATTGTCCTGTATGAATCATATTACTGTACACTAATTCTCTGTTAGAGTCAAATTAATGCACATGTACGTATATTTATAACTGTATATTCAAACATGTACACCCATGTATTATACCTAGTAGAAAGCATTAATTTTTCTTTTGTCAGTTATGAATGTCTTTGAAATGTTATTTGTCACCTCCCTCACTGCTGTAAATACTATGTGAGTTATTCTTCTACTCATTTAATTGTATATGTTGGTTAGGACTCACTTGACACTATTAATTCTGATGTATTGATCAAAAAATCACTGTACATTTATGTATCTTTAGCAGTTCAGTGGAAACTGCTTTTGTTTGAATAAATGTTCAGATGAATAAATATTCCAAGTGAAATAGGATTGCAGTATTATTTTTACTATGCTTTTGAGTTCAAATCTGATTCTTAAATGCATGATCACATACTAATAAAACTACTTAAATGATTAGTTAATGACAGCATGACTAATTACAATTTTATCCATTTAAGAAATTTTCAGTTTTCAGATAACTTCACTTATGCAAAATTTCTTGAGCTTATATCTACACTTTCAGTTTACATAGCAATATGTATGTACATGGTTGCTTACATAGCCATCGAGTATATTGTGATAAAAAGTACTCACTTAAACATGCTTCTTAGATGTGTGTTTCTATCCAGCAAGCCCATTGTATCAGAAAATTTAATCAGAAATGTGTAGCAAGACCACAGTGAAAACACACAGCTTTTGCTAAGTTATTAACTTTCAGAAAAACCTGCTTTGAAATACTTGCTCACTTAAAATACAGATTTGAGCAATAAAGCCCCAACGGCCCTGCTGTGCCTTAGTCATGAAGAGCCCTAGTGTGTGGACAAAACCTGAGACTTGGACAAAGATGGGGAAGATAGGGTTCAGAGTTGGCCAGATGGCAAGACTGAGCTGAGGAAATGACGGAGATTAATGGAGCTGGGACAAGGAGCCCAGACGTGCTAAGCAATGAGCTATGAGAAGTTTGAGGAACACAAACTGTGAATGCCAGGCAATTACAATCAGATGAGAATGAAAGCTAGAAATAAGAAGAGTCTGGGCAGGTTTGAGGAGTAGCAGGTGGGAAAAGTCTTTGCCTGCTACAGTTTATGTACTGGAATACAGTTCCTTAGCTGTCAGTAAATTACTTTAAAATTACACAAAACAACAACTCCCTCCTGTTTGTTCTCACTGGCTCCATTAGCTTACTTGGCAGAAGCTTGTGAAGTGCACCTGAGGATATTCCTAGAAGGACACAATGCTATTTGACTTCATCTTCCCTGCAAAAAATCCAAAGAGGGGAGTAAGTTTGTAACACAGCACTTTTGTGGCTTATCACCTAACAGGACATCCTTTAAGTCGGGAGTAACCATTTCAGTTTGTTCTGGAAAAAGAACTGCATTTTACCAGGTTAATGATGGTGGAAACATGGTATGTACTAAACCATACACATGCTTCCAGATCTTCGTACAAGTTTCCTGTGGGAATGCGATAAGAGCAACTCACACACAGGAGAAGACATTCTTCTTCTCAGATTTTATTTGAAGACCACTTCGAAATAGCTCTCATACCACTAGTGGTACACATACCATAGCCTGAGAACTCCCATCTTAGATATTTCCAGTTTGATCACATAGCTGTCAGTATGCTTTTTTATGGGTTTTTTTTTTTCCAATGTCTTTTAACTTTTTGTTTGTTTGTATAGCACCTGAATGCTGCAGTGGAGGAGGATTCTTTTTATGTAATGAGCAACAGTTTATTTTGTCTTCATCATTCAGTGGGTATCTATCTGTAGCTTTCTTACTGTGCACAGTTCAAACACTGTTCTGAAGACAAAATTACCCAATCCCTATTTTATTATAATAGTTCAAATCCATAATATAATTTACTTTCAAAATAACCTGAAAGATGAGGAACATCTTGAAACATAGGCATAGAAGACTGAGGTCAAATGTACATGCTTACTTTGGACATCGCATTTGGGAAATCATTGTGTGGCATTTTATGTGCTCAGAGCCCAGCTCCCACTGCCCTGGCTTTCAGCTCTGAATGTTCAGAACATTTCTAGTGATCTCTAGCAACAAGGAAACCAGTGACCACCTGTGAAAAGTTTTATTTTGATAACTTGTCCAGAAATACTGCAGCAGATAAAAGAGAACAATCCATCTCTTCAAGGCAAACTGCAGCTGCCATAATATAGACAAACTTTTTTCTGCTGGTAATCCCTGAGTTTGCTAAATATCTTCCAACTTCTGCAACAAAACCTGCTTCATGTAATTAGAATAATTTAATGAAGCATTTCTTCATTACACAATTCTAATTAATCTACAAAACACCCCTACTTTGGATATTAAATGTGGCAAGAGAAAAATAGACTTTTTCATATAATTAACAGAAATATTGTAATGTCTTCAACTGAGGTAAGGGCCAAGTTAGGAATGCACTATTTAGACAAGATGCCATTTTTTTTCCCTAGCTTCTGAAAGCTTGACATTGCAATCTTAATGTTTTTCATCGCAGCTGAAGGGGTAGGGTTAGTATGTCATTTTGTGATGAAAATGTCAAAGTACTAATTTGCAAACAAGTTGAAGTAAAAATTTAAAAGGAATAAGAAACTAATCAAGTTGTATATTTTACCTGAATTCCAAACCCCCAAATCCACTTGGCATATGAAAATAAATAATTTTCTGATCTTGAAATATCATCCTACAATTAGAGAGGACATTAAATTTCTGATACAGGAAATTACCATTTAATGAGAAGACAGAAAGGTTCTTGAAAATTCAGTGGATGAATTACATGCTTGTACAGGAATGTCTGAGGCGATACATGTGGTGCAAGGGACTCCTTTAGAAGTAAAAACAGCAGTTACAAATGCTGAATTACAGAACATTTGACAGGAACACAATATCCAAAAACTGCATGTTGACAACTCCAGCATTTTCCAGCTGAAATGCATTACTGGGGTTGATAAAAATGTCAGGCAGTCAGAATCCCAGCATTTTGACCATTGTCACCTCTGTTCTGCCCATAAGTTAGACAGAGGTCATCATTTTAGAGCAGATCTACTTTTGGAGTACACAGATGAAATGCCAGCATATGACATAAAGCTGGAACGGAGGTCATGTATGCTCTCATAAATAAATACTGCCAATTGCTCTCCTTTTTGCACTAAAGAAAATTACTTCTGCATAATGAAATTATGTTTGAACCATACATTTGCTAACACTTTCAATAAACTGTGTCTTAATGATAAGCAGTAAGAGAACTAGGCCTGAACATAAGAACCTTTTATTAAGGTTATTACATTTTACAGGTAATAATTTTAAACCAGATAATAGCATTGCCTTTGCAGTTGACCTTCACCAGTTTATACAAATATTTCTTCTAAAAGTGCAATAAAATGTCTCAGCCTATAAAGCCCAGAAAGTTAGTATACAGTTTAATTTCTGATACATTCGCTTCCCAGCACAACTGCTGACTCTGAGACTTGCCTTCTTTCATATTGAATATAATCACTGCCCAGGAGCACAAATAAAAGCTTTGTAGAAAAAGAAGCCTCCAAGCTGTATAGCCACTCAAACTTATGCACACTCATTTATGCCCACCCAACAGTTATCCATTTCTTGTACTCCCTGAAACAGGTCATGGAAGACAGCTCTTCCCTTTGGAGTCAGCAGAGCACAAACACCTCTTCCACTCTGGTGGAGCTTGTGTACAGGGTTGCATGAGGATAAGTCAGGTTTGGCCTGTAGTGACACCATGAGGGAAAAAAAGAAAAAAATGGAACATTCACAGCCTCTGACACTTGTTCTGGTGTCACCAGAAATGAGATTATGAAAATGAAAGTGCCCCAATCATACAGGAACAATACAGCATCACTGTATGACACAGCAATGGCTGACTGATCTACATGTGCCTTCCTGTACCTAAAGCTCTGAATTCCTCTGAAGTGTAATTTTAACCAGGACTTTCTCAGGTTTGTATTACCTGGCCTGTGCATGTTAAAACAATTAAACATTTGTAACATCTTTAATCTATATTATATGCCAAATAGTGATAATAACTTGCAAATCTGTTAGTAAGGTGTAGTGTTGTGTCAAATGGATCACGTGAATCTGGGTCAAAAATCACAATTTTTGTACTAGAAACCAAGTTTGGAATCTTTTTAGAAAACACAGATTTCTGATCAGGTGCATCCAAGCACCTGAGAAATGCCCTGGAAGGACCACTTCAAATAGCCGAAAGCCACCATGGCACATCGTGTGCTACCTTGTCTCAATGTTGCTTTGGCATAGAGGATGTTGCTGAAAGCTGGAGGTCAGATCTTCTGTGATTTTTGCAAATCTATGCATCTATGTTTACACTATGTTTAGGTAGGAAGTTGGATATGAACCCTAACAATTCTATGATTCTGTGAAGTTCATGAATCATTCCTCTGCACCTTACCTGTTCCCAGTACAACTCAGGACCTGGGCAGCTTCGTTAACTATTTCATCCTCTCTTCCTCCTTCTCCAGTGTTTACTCTGCCCTTCTGTGTCTGCATCCACTTTGCTGACTTCCAGTTCCAAACTGAATTTCCCACTTCAGGTTTCCTGTCACCCAATACTGTCAAAGCAGAACCCAGCATCCCAATATCCTAGTTCATCAGAGACAAACAAAGTTTATGTCAACACACAGGAATTAGACTTGAACAATTACTCTAAGAACAATGTAGAAAGATTATATAGAGCCTGATTCTGATTTTACCAACAACCATGGAAACAAGAACTAGTTTAATTAGCAGCACAGAGCATAAGGTTAGTAAAACTCATGCTTGTGGACTTTATTTCAACCATAAGACCATACTGTACTAATTTTCCTGTGCCCTGACAGATTTCTCAGCACAATGTGTAGCAAACTTGAGTCAACCTGATAGCTCAGCAAGCAAAGTCTCAGTTAAAGCACCTGCTCCTGGGAAGTTCTTGTCTCCAGACAGAGCTGTCAGCTATTCAAAAACCCTCTGGAGCTTTCAACACTTAGCATTTTTATTTAACTGGTTTAACATTCGTTTAGTACTTTCAGCACACAGAGCTTACCTATTTGTGTCCTTTGAAGACAGTGCATGGTTTACACTATAGACTTGTGACATGTTAGTACATCTAAGAACAAGAAAAAACAAGGCAAAGAGCCAGCCCTGCTGTATTTTTAAATGGCTGCTTCTGTCCAAGTGGAGTAGAAAAATAATGGGGGAATCCTCTGCACCAGAAAAAAACATCAGATAAATCTGAACTTGTAGTGAAAAACAGCCTGAGAAAAACAGCCTGAGAATAGGCTTCTATTAGATAATATAGTTTTGTTTTGGAGAAGGAGACATTTGCCTTCTGAAGCAGTGAGTTGCAACAGAAAAGCTCCCCCACTTTCATTAGTAAGAAAAAAGACATTAATCTGCCTGCTGAAAAAATATTTTCATGTTTCCATGCTGTCCAATTGGGTGTAAGAGAAAGCTTTAGTAAGTATATGATACTTAACAAAGCCAGAATTGGGGGAGGGAGGGGAAGGAAAGTTCTATGTATAAGTCAGTATACACATGATTTTCTAACTTGCAAGAGGGAAGGGAATAGAGAGCCACCTAACTTGTAACAGAAGCTGAAGCTCTTGAATGTCATGCAGGACTATGAAACTGAAGAGTCCTGACCCCTCAGTGCTCTCCCCCATGCTGGCCTTCCCTATGAAAGCCAAGCTCTCCATGCCCAGGAGAGCCCAGTTCCTCTTCCAAACAGCTACACACCAGAATTCTGGGCATGAGAAGCAGCGATGTAAATGTAAGTGAATATCATCCTGAATAAACTGATTTAACATGTAATTAAAGCATTTTGCTGTTGTAGAATACAATTCTACTGCAAGTCTAAAAGGAAATAATTAGTGTTACAGCATTCTACTCCAAGCAATTCAAATGCTCCACTCCACAATGCATCCATTGGTGATGTTGACAGATACATATATATTTCTGTCATATAAACAGATTAGACTTAAATGTATGTGCTCAGACCTGATTTTTAATAATAAAATATGCAATTCAATTTTTAAAATAACCATATTAAAAATCAAAGTACATATCTAGAATACTGTACTGTTTAAAAAAACAATAATTATAAAAATATCAGATACCAATTAAAAAGTCAGTATCTCTATAGCCTGGGATATACAGCTCCAATATAGCAGAAATTTTTACTATCCTTCTTTGCTCCTCTTCCATAAAAATTCTGAAGTTGTGGATCACAATCCAGTTTGTTCAAGGGTTTCAGAATTATTTAGTCATTCTAATATACAAACAACATGCTCGGTTCCTGCTGTGCTAGTTATACGTGTAAATACTAAGGACAATACAATTATCTAAATAAGCAAATTAAGCAGCCATTAAATGCAACTGAAACAGCATATATTCCACTCTTCCCAACCTACCTATGGATTACACAAATTAATTTTATTTCTAACTTTCAACTTTCTATTAGTACTTTCATGGCTATCATTATTTGTAGAGCCAGTAGGTAAAATCACTGAAATAAAAAGAAGTTGTAAAGGAAAACCATTGTAATCAGGGGTTGTTCTGAATCTGGAGGCTGTAGGAGTTTGAGAGAAGCCTGCAGACACTCTGAAATGGATTTTGTCTGATAATAGCTTCTAAGAAAGGTTATGAAAGCATTCTTACAGAAAACAGACATAAGCTGAACTGCACAATCCAGATGAGTTTATAGTGTTGAGAAAGCTACATTGCACATGAACTGTTCATATATTTTCTGTATAAGGCACACTGTAAACAGCTCAGCAGTAAGTTACTGAAATTGTTTATCTAATACAGCAATGTTCAGAAACATTTGCAGAATCTGGGTCTGTCTGGGTGTACATGTGTGCATATTTATGAATTTTTTAAATCTCATCCTTAAATGCTTTATAATTTTGCAACAAGTTGAACAACTTTATATGAGAAGAACAGCTGGTATAAAAAGCAAATCAATGATGCTCCAGTATAAATAGCTAGTATGTTTGCTGCCTTCAATGCTCCTCATATTAATGAAAGAGAAGCTAGACATGTGGAGAAAATTATCCCATTATAATAGTAGCACCGTCTTAAAGATGAGATTAAAAACTGTAATTCTGTTTAATCCCTGTAGCCTGTGACACAATCAAAGAAAAAAGGTAATGAGAATACAACTCACAAAGAAGAAGTAAAAATAATGTCACAAAGAATGCTCCATCAGTTAAAACCTCTAGATGTACATCTGATTTCTGCAGACGAAGAAATCATTGTATAAAACATCAAGCACTGGCTTCGCAGAACAATTCTGAAATGCAAAGCAACAAATTAAACAGCACACAGCAAGAGTCAGAATCAATCAGGACAAAATTTATGTCATGCTTGAAAGCCTTACTAGAATTCATACAGCAATGCTTCAGTTAGTAGATCTTTTGTTAATTGAGATACAACAATACATACCAAAATTTAGTAAGAAATGGCAGATGTGCTACTAGCTGATAATTACTTTGCAAATCTGAATCAAATAATAGCTTTCTAACAATTAGAGTAATCATAGTAATTTTAAGGGTGGAGAGAACAAGGATGATATCAAGTTTGCGATATAAAAAACTGGAATTAATACTTGAATAATCTCCATCATTAATCAAGAAATAAATCCATCTTGCAAGTGGATTTCTTGAGAGCAGTTAATAACTGCCATCACACTTTCCTGAGCCTGCAATCCAAATATAGATAGAAGAATGACTGATATTAGTTGTCTGAAAGTGACAATTCCCTTCTGAATATCACCAGAACATGTGACCTGTATAATACGAAGTTTTGAAGTTAAATGATCTTATAAGGAAATAATTCAGCAGCCAGCTTGATGACTACTGTGCATCACAAGCCTAGAGACTTAGGTAAAACTGCTGTAGCTTAAAGCTGAAAATTTAGTGTTTATTTGGTGTGTATTTATTTAAATTAAAAAATAAAAATTTGGTTTCTACTAATTTCAAGACATTGAACTGCATCCCTTGTATCTCCAGATGATCTGAACCTCAGTTTAAAGGAAGATGCACCACTCAACAGGTCATGGGATATTTCTCAAGCATGCTGATCTTCACAGTGAAGCTGTTCCCCTCAGCACTGCAAAGCTACACAACATGCAATCAGTAAGAGCTGAACTAGATACTGTATGTTCCTACAGCCCAGCAGCAAGGGGCAGCTTCCTGCAAGGAGGGTAGTCTGAAATACAGTCTCTGCTGCAGCACAGGCTTCACTATTTACTCCAAATAAACAGCAGGTCAAGGGCTGTAGAAGAGATCTTCCTCTGCCTCTCAAACGAGTTTCATAAACATACAAACCTAGATTAGCACTTGGTTTTGTGCTTTCTCCAATTCTCTTTCCTCTTTGATTGTTTCAGACTATAGTCAAAATGGACCATATTCAAGACAATCTTCTGGTATTCTGGGGACTTGACTTGTGAATGTTTGAGATTGCCAGTAGCGCTGTAGCCTGTTAAGGAAAGAATCTAAGCAACAGAAAATTAAAAAACAAAACAAAGAACCAAACTTGATATTTCTTAGAAAACAAACTGTAATTCTATCTGTCAAATATATATTATGATTATTTTTTTTCTTAATAGCCTGATCCTTAACTCATGGAAGTCAGCTCTGATTTTTGTGCCAATGTGAATGACTGTGGAGGGCGGTAAAGAACAGGCCCAGTGTACTACAGTGAATACATTGGTTTACAGATTCAAAACATGTCCAAATACATTTTTTAAATCCACCACCAATGTGCAGTCTGACAAATTCCACAGAGGCCAATGACTGTAGCAAACATTTCAAGCAATTAACCAGGGGAAAAATATATGAATGTGACTAGAAGACATCTATTCATACAGAACAAGAACAGGGAAATGAAACTCAGCTACAAAAAAAAATGAGGTACTTGCTAAATCTTTAGAGGTAACAAAGTAATCTGTTTGCGAACAAAAGCACAGACAAGTTTCCAGGATCCAACATGCCAGGCCAAGCAATCGTTCCCCAAGAATGGCAGTTTGATGTACGCATGCAAAAAGCAACTGGAAGGGCTAATTTTTCTAACTGTACTTCAATAGAATACTCTCACTTGAGAGACCAAAGAAGAAATATGGCCTAACACGGCCAGTGGATGTTGCTGTGAATTTATGCTGTAATTTAAAGAGTACTTTACAAGGGACAAATACTAACAGAAGAAACAAAATTTTAATTCTACTTCAAAAGAGGACTTTGGTTTTTATAAGCTTTTTTTTCTGAAAACTATTAGAGCTACTCTGTAAAGCAAAACTACCTCTTTGTCTGCAGGATGGAAAACTTCTCTACAGTATCTTAACAAAATATCTGAGACTTGCCTACATTAGAGATTGAATATGCAAACCTATTGTAAACAAACAGTGTCCTGGATTTCACTGAAGGAGCCACCACACTGAGCCTGCAGCAGGGATGGGGAAACTTACTCAGAAGGGAGAGGACAGAAAATAGGATGAAGAGGAATAGGTTCTGACAGAAAGTCTGTCCATTCCTGAATTAGTGAGCTTACAAGTCATAGACTCCAGCTGCTTCTCAAGCTCCTTGTTCAGTCAGGAAGACAGGAGAAAAGAGGAGCAGCAGTGACCTGGCACGAGCAGGAGCTGAGCTACTGCGTTCTTACAAAGTTTCATCACTACTTTGGGTCCATTATGCCAACAGCGAGAGTCAGGAAACTGGGGACAGTGCTCAGAAAAAGAGCTGGCTCACAAAACAGTAATCTGCAGCTCTAAAGAAAAAAGCTGTATCTTCGATAACGTCACAGCTTGTCAGACCCGTGACCTTTAATTAAAGCATGTGCAATCATGCCCTTCAGTCCTCTTGGCGGAAGACTGAATTTTTATATTCAGTTTAAAATGAGATCTTTTCAGAGGCAGAAGGCTGTTCGGCAATGGGTGTGAATGGAGGGTCCTAGGTCAAGACTGATGAGGTCCTGTTTGAGTCTGGGTAAATCACTAGCATCCTCGTATCCAATGTTGTGCCTTCTTCATGGAGGCAAGAAACACAAGAATGACAGAAGAGGCTGAGACAGGAGACATAAACGTTTTGTGCATTGACCGTGTCTGAAACAACACACTGGCTGATGCTGGTAATCTATGTCAACAACAGTTTAGTTACCTGATAAAACGTGAGTCCTTAGTTTTCTCTGAGAACATCTTCGTATCCTTTGTTTCAGCAGAGCTCCCTATGACATTGCAGGGAAGACTTTGCTCTGCCATTTTCTTAGCAACTTCCTCCAAAACGTTTGCGTGACTCCCTCTGAACTCCATTAATTTCTTGTCTCTACTTTTACAAAGAAATTGAGAAGCTTCAAGATGCCCATGGAGCTCTCACTGGAAGCACAGATATAGATATGACATATATGTATGAGCCAGCACATAATGAGGTGCAACTTCTAGCCATCGTAACTAGTAGTAAAGATCGTTCAGGTAAATAGACCAGCTGATCAAGTCAGGACAAGAGTTTACAGTGAATACCAGCTTCATAAATCATCAGTACTAGCTAACTTGAAATCTCTGAAATGAAATGAAATGAAATCTCTGATGAATCCAGTGGAATAAAACCACCAGAGTAATCTGCCAGCTACATCACTGCAGTTTACTGCATGGGTGCAAGTCTGTTTAAGCAGATGTAATTCGCACTGCATGGGTGAACTATTCATGTAGATAACCTCCTCCTTTCCCCCAGACTTTTGGAGTGTCAGTGTTCCCATTCCTTCAAATCTTGGTGACTTGGTTATTCCTGCCAGCAAGGGTTATTACCATTGCAAATTGCAGTGGTGGTTTTTTTCAGTGACATACTGAGCTTTGGAAATAACTGAAATTCCCATGTCACTGCAAGTTCACCAAAGGGGTATGTACCAAGGTATGATTCTAACCAATAGATGAGAGGTACCGTGTCCCATTATCACCATGAAACCATGCAGACTCTGGATTTGGCTGGGGTTTTTTTCATATATTTACGTGAGTATTAGCTGGTCAAAAAGAAAGTGCTTATCAGTTTTACATTAAAGGCTATCACTGTTGTGAGAGAATTTGAGAAGAGCATTACCAACACCTTTACCAAAAGCTATGCATCTTCCTACAAAATATAATTTGTCCTAAACTGTTTTCCTGATGCTCCCATTTGTCAATGAGTTAAGTACATGCTGATTTCTACATATTTACCTCCCATTTCTGTCATTTGCATGTCTAATCTAAGTGCAATGCACTGTTAATTTACCCTGTAGTGTTCCCATGAATATAATTTGTATGCACATAAAAAATCAATGTAATATCTAGAGATGAAATCCAATGGAAACAGTTTACTGTGAAATCCAGTCTTCGTTCTCTCATTTTTCCACTTCACTGACTGTTGCTTTTTCTAAGTACTCCTAGAGCTCTCTTGCACAACTCTTCATTATGCTGCATTATTTCTTTATTTGGGAAATAAAACTAAAAAGTATTTTTATACAACCTAATTTCCCGTAATTGTTGGAATGTTAAGACAGTTTTTCAGGAGGGAAAATGCTAATCAATTTTATTTCAAAACCACATTGAAATTCCACATAAATTGGTGCCAGAGTGCAAATGCTACTCAACTGGGAATGGAGAGAGAAGGAAGGGAAATACACGCCAACTCTCACTTTAATACAAAGGATGTGAGATACATTTTATTTGAATCAAATGCTATTTGGCAACTTAAGCATCTGGAGCACATCTGATAACTTGGGTAAAACATATCGATTTGTCTATTGATTTTTCTAATATACCTTCTCTATGAGGAGCTAAAATTGAAAGTAGCAAGTGACTCAGCTAATGCCAACTCTAAGTAGTGTGGAGATGTTCAGATATGCAATATGGGTCATCACTGAATTCCAGAATATGGTGGATCCTTGCCTTCCAGGCAATACATGGCATTGGCATCTCTCTCTCAGCTTGCAGGGTTCAAATTTTTTTTCAATATTAATCTTCTTATGCATTTTTTCCAATGCTACAAGCAAGTGGCTTTGTTCATAAACTAGATGTACACATGGCTTGAGAAAATGATAGCCTTTACAATACTATACATTAACTGTAACCTTAGGATTGCGTGTATAGAGCCGTTTTCTTTAGTCCCCAAATCAATTCATATGTGAAAGTAACACACAGGAGCATACATAACACCTGTGGAATTTTGGTCAGCTTATTTTCAGAAATAACTCTGAAACTCTGCAGTGTTTGTCATTCTCTCTGGGTGGTTTTATATAAACAAAGGATAGCAAGTAATTCTCGTGCTCTTGCAAATACAAGAACTTCTGCCATTGCCTTCCACAGGACCAGAATTTCCTGGACACAAACAGAATTCACCACTGAACTCACAGTGAGTTTTACTTTGTGCTTTTGGATTTAGCCTTACAGTCTGTTTTCTTAAATTTAGATCACAGTCACAAAACACGGCTCAGAAACAAAGGATTTATTAAAAACAAAAAAAAAGGGGGGGGGGGGAAATAAAGAATCCAGGAAACACAGCCCTGAATTACACTGTTACACTTGTATTCTAAATATTTGCACACAGCAAATAACACTTGAAATACACTTTTGGCAGTAGGAACTCGGACTGTAAGTTTCAACTCTAAAGGGCCAAGAAAGGAGTTTGTAAAAAAAAGAGTAGTCAGGGCACCCACAGTCCTTTAACCAGCTGCCTGCAAGACTTTCTGCATGCCCTAATTGTGAACAGGTCGATACTGCTCCTCAGATGCTAACTGTCACAATGGAAGGGGAAAAGATGGGACAGACAGGTAAATGGCTGCACCATGAGAAACTTTTGCTACTCTTTGTATGAACACATCACAGAATTAGTGGTCTCTCTTCTTTCCCCAACAAGCATTACACTTACTCCTTATTTTTCTGGACTTTATTGACACATTAAATGGAGTGGTAAAAAAAGAGTCCAAATTACATCACCTTTAACACGTTCTCCAAATTAGGCTCAGGGCTTCTGAATGAAATACTGATGAGGTGGCACACACCTGATTCACTTCAAGACTTCCAATTCCTGAAGTCAAAATTTACCCTGAGATTTCTGCCAGGTTCTCTACTTTCATCACATTTTAGAAGTGATTCCTGACATCTGTCACAATGTTAAGAGAAACATTGCACCCAGAAAATCTAAAAGATACACCTGAGTTACACAGTCTGTAAAAAAATGAGAATATGCATTTTGCAAGAAGAAAAGTAAACAGGGAAAACACCTTCATTCTGCCACGCTCCAGGCATCGCAAACTG